GAAAAAAATTGATAATATCGTGAATGCGACCAAATTGTATAGTCATAAAATGTAATAGATCAGTAGTAGTACAGATTTTCAATTTAGTCGGCATTGACATTAGATTTGACAACCATCTAATATGTCGCACTTCAGAACACGTAAAAAAGCATTACTTTATTGTGTTACGAGTGCGCGAGAACTTTCTTTACTTTGATGATCCTTTGTGAGAGTGACATTGCAAGTAATGTGCTCTTTTTTTTTAAATATTTTCTGGTAGTGACACTGTACTGCTAAGTGAGCGAGAAATTTTCTCACTTTGTTTAATTACAATTTACGATGTCGAGGAGAAGACGACCCGGTAACCGCACTGATGACCAGAGATCAAAAAAATAGTCATACTATGTCAGAAATGCGTTATTTAATGAGTGACAATGAAGTAGATAGGCTTAGAATGCAACGAGTTCGTGCACATCAAAGGCAACAACAGCAAGCACGACATAATGAGGTATTTTATTTATCGATTTAGGCAGTACGAAGTCTGCTAGTTGTTAAAATTAAAATAGAGAAATATTGGTTGGTACGTGACTATAATAGATGATAATCGGACTGATCGGAAAGCAATAGCAATTTTTGAATTTCAAATGTCAACATCCTATTTTTGTGAATAAGTTGAAAACGTATGTTTTCCGGATAGCAAAAACCTTTTAATACGATTGTTATATTTTTAATAGTATTTCAATTTTTCAGGAAATTATGGTATTAACAAAATTTTTCTTAATTTACCTTTGATTTTACCTACTTTATCTTACAGTTGTCTGCAATTTTTGAGTTTTACGCTATAGTAAAATGACAAGCTACTATGAAATTTTAATGGGCAGTACCGGATTGCCTTTACTAGAATTTATTATTTTAATTTTCAAAAACGAGGCCATTTAATCAAGTTCGAAAAACTGTATCTTCCAAATTAAAATGTTAAGATTAAAATATCTTCCTGAAAAAGTAAAACAATTGAAAAATATTTCACAGACTCATTTACATCGAAAGTACCTGTAGCATGAGAATAAAAGTTTTAGCTTGATATCTCCAATGGTTCAAATATTACACGCGAGAACATTTTAATTAGAGTTTGTTTAGGCACGAGTGGAGCCCAGTGGAGCCAGTGTTGAATGAAAGAGAGTTTGAAGAAAGTTTATAAAAGTGTTGCATACTTTTTCTACAACCATTAGTTTTTGTGTGCAGCACGAATACATTCACTGACAGGCGTGTGCCGTAACTGTCAGAACGAAAGAACGTCAAAATACTATCATTGTTTTAAATTTACCGAATACTCCAATCCCAAAGGTACGCTTGAATTGAAACTGACGTTTCGATCATACGTTTTTATTTCATTTTATTGGGATATTCTTTCCTCGATATGGCGGCACGGAAATAATAGGCTGCTGTGTTATCAATTTAGCTCAGTTTTGCAAAAGCCCATTGTCAAAACGATGTTGGTGTGGAATACACCGATAACGTAATTAGACATCGGACAATAACATACATATACATATGTCGACCTATACACAGGAATTGCAGCAAACCAGAAGTTATTAGTAGCGAAGTTGGCTAAAAGCTAACATGACAGAATAGAATTCAGCTAAACTACAATAAATCGAATCGCTTTCGATTCTTTCCCAGTTGGCATTGCAAGAAATTGCTATTAAAGAATTGATCAAAAAGTTATAATAAGTTCCAAAACAGATTGATAGATATCAGCTTTGAACACATATTCTGTTTTAACCAAACGAATCCAAAAATTTATATTATATTTTTATTCTAAATATTAATTTATTCATATACTGCAAAATAACGTTTTGGCACTCATTATAAGCTATTTTGAGGAGATTCATTATTGCAATATCTGTAATTTTTGTCTTAAATTTTTATAAATATAAATATAAATTTTATAAATTTTTTATAAACGAAATTTAACGGACGAAATAATATAACGTTCTTGTAAAAAATGCCGAATTATTAGGATACATGTTGCTTATAAAGTAAACGACTTTTTCTTTTACATATTGGTTTTAGATATTTATATTTTAGAAATGATGCTCTAGTTATTTACAGCATACAAAATTATTTAAATACGTACATTTTCCATTTTATGTAGGTCAGCGATGCCGTTCATCCTTGCTAATCTTGGATATGAGCTGCTCATAAAAACTGTCATATACACCATGTAACAATTTACAGTAAATTTGACAGAGAGGTAAAGCTTTAAAGAAAAAATAAATGCTTTTGAATATTTAATATCGGAGGTCTCATTTATAATCTATATCGTATGAACCAATTATGTTGTTCAAGTTCCGTACTACCACGTATTTTCTTTCTTTTTTTTTCTTCAAAAAAAGCAGTGGCATAACATAGTTTCTTTAAACAGATTATAAGTTACAAATTAAGTATATTTTTCTAGATGAAATGTTATAGACATATACACACCAAATTGCACTGTTATAATCTTATGGACCATAAATAAGAAGCTACAACAAGGGAGATTTTAAAATCCCACCAGGTTCAAATATTTATTTTTTACAACCCCCGCCATCTGTTTCAATCGTAAGTTTTACTCCTCGCAAGTTTTAGTACCCTCGTGACCTACATAAAATCGCAATGATTTGCCACAAAACATGCTCACCGTAGTGCTTCGAAGTTACCTTGAATAAAGATGACAAAAAGACGCACATAATATCATATGTTAAAACACCTATTAGACATTTTAAAATAAATTTGAAATTGACCATACGAGACTTTTGTTGCCTCGAGAATGTTAAAAACTGTAAGTAATTTGATATTTTAAAAGTTTAGAAATTATGGTACTCCACCTAATACCACGAACCACCAATTATGTGCCAATTAGACAAAAACGTGTTCAGTAATTTTTGAAATATATACAATACTTTTTGTAACTCCGCGTAAATATTCTATCAATGCAATTACAAAATTTGTTACAAGAAAGTTATCGTCTAGTAAAATGTATTACTTCCTTATACTACCAGATTGGTGTGTTCGTGTAACGATTCTTATACCGGTTTTATAATTACTCCATAACTACTGATGCAATGAAAAAAATTGTTGTGATTGTTGTGATGTCAGGCCATTATATTTTTACGAACATAATAATAAATTTATGTGTTGTTCATTTTGAAAAGAATCCATATAAACAATTACTTATAAAACATTTCTGAATTTCTATGCTGCGCAAAATATGAAAATTAAAAAAATAATAGAACTGCAGAAAATATTTCATAATTGTTAGATTCTTTGTAGTGCCCCCTGAAAACCTAAACCTAATATTATATACAAGTACTCTGAAAAAGTTTTTCTTTTACAAAATCAAAACCTGACTATCGAACAACTCGAATGGTGACTAGAAGTAAAAGAAAACTTTTTCGTTTCAATGAAAAAAATGGTGTTTTACTTCATACCGGTGAAATCCAGTTTTCGTGGGAAGAAAGGCAAACTTTTGTAATAACCCGGGATTCCTCATTTTGTATTTTGGAAGGAGTAGAGCTTGCTACGAACTAACTTTGACGCAATAATTTTAATTAACTGCTTGAAGTCGATTACCGGAAACGCTAATAAGGATAACAAAATAGGCCACCACAACATTGAATTCACGGAATCGTATTATCCGATTTTCCTGAAATAAATGCATTTAAACTGAGAATATGAATATTGCCGACCACGTTAGCAATTCCGCAGCACTATTGATATGTTTTATTATCGTCTATTATTTTCAATACCTGGTAACTGTCAAAAGGATTTATTTGGAAATACACGCGTCCAGGGATCTCGCTTCTATAACAGTTTGCTTTAATTAGCGCTCCCTGTATATAGTTCTATTTCTAGATTCAGCTCAAAAAGTTGGAAATATTTTATTAAGATGAACTTAGTCTAGGACCTCGCGGATCATTTAATCAAGCAAGGTACGTGCCTAGCGCGCTAGTTTATGTGGAATTTTTGAATAAAATAATTAATACATAACATAAAATAATTTGTATCTGTAAGTACGCAACTATTTACATACAAGCCTTTGCCAAAATTTTGTTAACTCGAATTATTAAGATATGTTTCAAAACAAATGCTAAAATCTTTAGGGGGTGATGATTATTTGTTTAAAATAAATAGTAGTAAAGTATTATGAAAAAATTGCATGAGACAAATGTATGTCAATATATACAACTTTTTCCTTAAATTTCGTAAAAAAGATTGAAAGGAGTAGTCTAATTCAATTCCCGCTACTCATTTTTAAAAAATATAAAATATGCGGGAAATAAAAACATTTCTTTTCCGTCATATTTGTATCGCGAAATCTCTGTAATGCTTGGCTTTGAACCCAACGTTTGTATAACAAACACCCCTAATTTTAAATAAGGAATTACACCCTTAAATTTTTTGAATTTGTTTTGAAACACCCCGTGTAGGTCTTCGATACTCTGGAAAATTGAGGCTAGTACGCCTTTAAACATAAAAAAGTGGTTGCTACCAAAGCAGCTGTAGTTGAGGTTACTACAAGTAGTAATGAAGTGCCAACTCAAACTTGGAGGAACTTCTTAGTACAGTCCAAGGTCGATCTCTCGATTAATCATATAATGCACAAAACGTAACCTGCATTTTAAAAAAATTAAAATTCATATGTAGGCCTATGCGCGTGACTACTGGCTACAGATTGCTGAGTTTTGATAGTTACATTTTTGTATTATTTTTGTTGTTATAAAATATTCCTAAAAAGATAAGATTTAGCTAGCAGCATAGAAGATGAAATGACCCATGAAGATTGCTATTGCTAGTGAGTTCAAATTAAACTTGTCAAGGTGTTGTCACCTTCATATTGTTGTGTTCACCAAATTCTTATGATAGGCACATTGCAAGTCACCCGATATAAATATTATGACGTATAGGTAAACACCAAACGTTTAAACATTAAATCACAAGCAAAAAAATGTCTGTCTAACTTGCGGAATATTCTGTTCCAGATTGTGTATTGTAAATCGTCGCAGGATGTTTCCCAGCTTTCCTTTGGGCCTGACTTTCGTTTTTATCAGTCTGAAGTGCAGCTCGTCCGTGTCCTTGACGAAATTGAACCGAATCCCCCAGAGAAACAATCACCAGAACATTTCATCTCTCTTAGATAACCTTCTTAGAGGTTACGATAATAGTATCCGGCCTGACTTTGGAGGTAAGTCAAAGTCCGGTTATTTCTTTTGTGTTCCCGTTGAAATATTTTTGTGTCTGTGTAAAAATTATATCATCGACTCAGTATTCTTGATATTCGGTAAATAAAATTAGAAATATATTATATTAAGCAAGCCTCCCAGGCATGCCTACTTTATTTGATATCTAGGCAGCCTAGCCACTCTCACTGTCATCGTTCCTCTGAACCCCAACCCCAAAGAAATTTGTAAAATCTTTAAAATAATAGTTCAGTCAAATGCAAATATTCTACAGTTATTTGAAATTGTAAGAAAAGGAAACGCTGTTCAAGATGTCTAAGAAAACATCTAATGTATATAGAGGATTTGAAAAGTTAAATAGACAGGGTGATTCAATAAGGGTTTCCACATTAAAATAATAAAAACAATTCGGAAGAATATAAAAATATACAAACATTTTTATTTGCTATTTTAGATTAGTGTATTACAATTAGGTATGAAAGATGATGTCATTCAAATGATCCCCGCGACTTTATTGAAATTTCCTATCACTTTTTGACACAATTCAGGTTCTATGCCGGCTATTTCTCGTCTAATCTCCTGTTTCACCTCTGGAAAAGTATTTGGTTTATTTCTATACACTATGCTTTTTAGATACCCCAAAAAAAAATCTAGGGGAGTAAGATCACATGATCGCGGCGGCCAATTGATATCGCCGTTACGTGAGATAATCCGACCAAGAAACTTACCCCGCAGCAATTACACCGTTTCTCTAGATATATGACAAGTGGCTCCATCCAGTTGGAACCATAAATCTTCAATATCCATACCTTCCAACTGCTCCCAGAAAAAAACAGATATTATGTTTCGATAGCGAACACCATTAACCGTAACAGCGTTCTCCGCATTATCCTCGAAAAAAAAAGGGCCAATTATTCCTCCGCACCAAAATGGGCACCAAACAGTCACTTTTTGAGGATGCAATCTCCAGATACGAGCATTGTGTTTGTTTACAAAGCCACCAACGTGAAAATGTGCCTCATCGCTAAAGATGATTTTCGTTGAAAAATGACCCCTTGTTCTCGTATCCATTCTGCAAACACGCGGCGCTGTTGATGATCTCGAGGTTTCCTGAGTTATTTGGACTTTATATGGGTGTAGATGCAAATCTTTTGTTAAAATTCGCTGTGTGGTTGAAGGCCCACTTGCTGCGATCGATGACGAATCGATGTGTTTGGATCTTCGGCTACACTTTCGCGTACAATGGCAATATTTTGACTTCGTGATTTTTTATGTCTCCTTAAATATTGACTATCTATTTTCCCCATTGTAAATATAGATTGCACAGCAACTAGTTAATCAATAAAGTTTATGCTTAAAAAACACTCATTAAATAAATTTTTTTAGAACATTTCTGTATAATAAAATAAATCACTTAGGGCCACCAGCGGTTGTCGAGGTAGACATCATGGTCAGAAGCATGGGCCCTATTTCTGAAGTTGACATGGTAACGACCGTCGTTCGTTTTGGTAAACTCCCGTCAGTGCTTATGTTTCAGACCTATTCAATGGACTGCTACTTTCGACAGTCTTGGATAGACAGGCGGCTATCGTTTTCAGGCGATGAAAATGACACGTTGGCACTAAGCATCACCATGCTGAAGAGGATTTGGAAACCCGATACATACTTCTACAACGGCAAACAGTCTTACCTTCATACGATTACAACTCCGAATAAATTTGTCAGGCTGTACCATGACGGTAGAGTTTTATACTCATCGAGGTAACTAATTGATTTGTCAAAAAGACTGGACGTACTGTTATTTTTAAATTTACTAGACCGTTAAACTAACACGTTGTACCGTGCGTTCAAATTATCTTGATAACGTTTTAATTGGCTGCACCTTTTTTTTTTCAAGTGACGTATAAAACAAAACACTATCAATATTCTGACATATAAGCCTACATCATATTTTTTTAAATTGAATATTATATATGTATTTTATAGAATATCTTATTCCGATTATAATTTTATATTTTAGTCCACTCGTTTTTTGAAAAATCGGCAAAAATGGGAAATTTTTATATGATTTCAAAGAGTGTCTCGACTGACAAATTAAAATATGTTTATGTTTGACATATTATTAAACAACGTTGTCATTTAACATCCGCGAAAGAAGTGATTTGCTCAATAATTTCTGAATAATAAAAGTGCAACCGCAGCTCGTCGTCAGTACATTAACGCATTTAAATTTCGTAAAATGCAGTTGTGTTTGGATTTTTAAATAGGCATAATGGGAATAATTTTTTGAAAAACATTTTATGGACTGATGAAAGTTCATTCACTATAAGAAATTGTTGTTTTAGACAAAATGCGCCATATCTGTAGATCAAAAGTTAACTGCAGATCATTATTTGCAACTCTTAGAACACCAAATAGAACAATATATGGAAGAATCACCTTAACATGGAATGTCTCAGGGGATGAATAGGGAACGACGGAACTATGGATTGGTCAGCAAACAGCCCCGACTTAACTTTAATGGAATTTTCCTTTTGGGGACACATAAAAAATCACGTGCACAGAACTCCTTGTAATAATGTCGTGGAACTCCGGCAAAGGATTTCAGAGGCAATCAATCAGTAAAGAGACAATCCGGAAACGTTACTAATACATCATAGAATTAGAGTATATGAGAAATGTGTTCAGGAAAATGGTAGCCACATTCGGAAGTATTTGTCTTGTCATTTTTAGTGTTTTTATTCTAATTTAATTTGTTTATAATAATTGTTGTTCCAGTCAGTCACGGCACTATTTGAAATTACTTAAAAATTACCTATTTTTGCCGATTTATCAAAAACGAGTAGGCTACAATATAAAGTGTGTTACATCATTGTAATCGGAATAAGATATTTTATTAAACACATGTATAATATATAAGATGTTCTATTTAAAAAAATGTTTTATACGTCACTTGAAAAAAAAATGGCTACTAATAGTTTTTGTGTGTAGCTTGATATCTCTAAAAACAAAAAAAGTTGCAGCCAATTTAGCTTACTTATATAACTTTTACGTAGAATTTTCAAGCGCAAACGATACAGTACCTAATTTTTTTAAATGAAAAACACACTATATATATATATATATATATATATATATATATATATATATATATATATATATATATATATATATATATATATATATATATATATATATATATATATATATATATATATATATATAAATTTTTGTTTTATTTTTGGAGTTTATGGATAAGGAAAATGACAAAAAATTGAAAATATTGTATTGGAATAAATAATAGTATATTCTGCAATAACTTGAATGACATGTGACGTGATTCTCAGAATTAACAAACATTAAAATTCTAACCCTGGCGAAAACATGAAATTGCTCCTAAACCCATGATTAAAATACCGGAAATGTCCTAAGACGGTCGCGACCCTGCTGGCGCTTTAAAGTGATACTTTCCCCACGCTTGATTGATGCATAATTGAACATTTTAAAGTAGGAAGTAAACAAGGAATATTTTTAGAATAACGTTTAAACGTTTGATTATTTTACGAAAATAAAGGCTCAACGGGCCCACAGAATGATGAAGAAAGGCTGCAGGCGTGAATTTAATGGAAATAAGTGGGACAAGAACTAGCCAAAGTGAATTCATCTTGTCGGTAGATGTTGCTCTACTTCTAGAATAGACATAAACATAGAACGCATTTTATTTTATTTATTGTTCTTGCTTCAAGCCGAGCTGAACATGTTTTCAAGCTCATTTCAAATTATTTTAATAAATTAACAAAATATCCCTTTTCCTTCAAGTATTTTTGAAAATTTAAACACCATTTATTAGAAAAACTTAACGCATACTGCTGTCCATAGAAAATACGCGTATTTAAACTTCCTAATTCTAAACGCAAATCGACAGATCCATTGCAAACCGTCGCTGCTTCTGCTGCCACACATTCGATTTCCCTTTTCAACAAACAGCCGAACGAGGATTCTTTATCCCACGCTGCATCACCATAATAAGCGATCCTTCTTTATAAAATTCCGGAGCTGATTTGAATGCGGTCGTAGCTTATCGACGAAAACAGGGTTTCTGACGTTGGCATGGCTTTAAACCGAGCTCGTCGCCTATCGCATTACGGCCCTACTCACTCTAATATGATCACTTGATTGGCTTAATTAAATGATAATGAACTTAACAAAATAGAATCGCGCGCCGAAGATTATAGCATTATAGGCAAAGTTTCTAGCAAGAAAATTGCCACAGCAACTCCGTCGACCGCGCAAACGCAAGAATATCACAACCCTATTTCCAACACGCGCAAGAGGCAAGAACTCAATTTTGCAACTAGCAAAAGTCTCTCTCAATCTTCATCGTGCTGGCTTTTGGCTGCAATCATGCAAGTTACCTGCCGATGCCAATAAAACTCCGGTCCGGTAATTATAAAAAGACAAAACATTAGGGACGGTCTCTCAAAGGTTTTGGTAATAATATTTTTTTTGTTTTATTTAGGTTGGTATAATCTTATTAAATTACAATAACAAAAAAAGATGTACGACAAATTTATAGCTAGGAATATCTATATATAATTACATTTTTATTCTAAATGTCTAAATCTAATTCTGTTTCACTATCAGAGTCGTCATTGCGATTAATTATAATAGGATTTATGTTGTTTTGTATAGAAATGTAACAGTCCTCAATTTTTATAATGTGCTATGCTGAATGTTGCCAGCTCTTATATGTCATTAATTACATTTTTATCAAATTAATAACACTGGGACTTAAAGTAGTAATAACATTTTCTGCCTTGATCTTTGATTTTACTTGGTTAGTTTTACTTGGTTTAGTTTTGTATAGAAATGTAACAGTCCTCAATTTTTATAATGTGCTATGCTGAATGTTGCCAGCTCTTATATGTCATTAATTACATTTTTATCAAATTAATAACACTGGGACTTAAAGTAGTAATAACATTTTCTGCCTTGATCTTTGATTTTACTTGGTTAGTTTTACTTGGTTTAGTTTACCGCCTACGAGACCAAAAAAATTCTTGAACCAGAACACGCGGAAGATACAGCTCCGTAAACTTTTATTCTTGACAATTTTTCAAAAATATACAGGATATGCCGCAAATTCAAAAAAACTGAAGAATGGTTCCCTCTATTATTGATAATTTTCTTTTACATTGCGATATAGCCCGCATAGACAGCTAAAACTTTTGTATTTAAGGTTTTCAGCTATTGTACAGGATGTCCCCAATATTCCGTGCTAAATATCAAACGTGTTAAGTGTAAATGTGACGTTGTGTTAATATATTAAAAATAAAAATAATTTGTCAGCGAATATTTTATACGGATTAGAATCGCATGCAAAACAGGTACGGATGTTTTTTATTATATTGGATAATTTAATTTTGTTAGTTTAAAATTGAACGATATATTTTGTTAAGGTTTTTAGAATCGGTTTTGTAATTAATTGAATTTTTGTTTTGTTGGATTTCTATACTTTCATAAAGTTCTCTTTTTTTGGTGTTAGGTTCTATCAGTAGGACTTTAAATGTGTGTTTGGTGTTTTCGCAATGGGTATGAGGAGCTGTTTTGTTTTTCTTGTCATACTTATGTCCGTTGATTCTATTTTTTAAATATTGGCTTGTTTGTCCTATATATACACTGTCCCAATTAGAGCATGGAATTTTATATACTATATTGCTTCTTTTTTCAAATGGAATTTTTGCTTTGAATTTAGTGAAGAGATATGTTTTTTGTAAATTATAACTTTTGTGTCCTATTTGAATTTTGTGTTCCTTGAAAATGGTTTGGAGTTTTTCTGATAGTCCGAATTATAGGCAAAAATCTAAAAGAGCTATAAAATTGTTCATCAAGAGCGACAATTTTTGTATTTGCGGATTTCGCCTATCACACTCGCTGCTCGGGATATTTGGAAAATTATTACGGCACGCTGCATGGTTTCAGGAAAAACTTATTTTCTCGAAAACCATTTACTATTTCGGAAAAATTCTTGAACCAGGAAACGTGGAAGATTCAGGGCTATAACCTCCATTTGCGGATTTTTTTCAATTATGTCCAGGCTGTGTCAATTATGGGTAAAAAAATTAAATGACCCTGAAAATTGCCGTTTTCGTGGATAGCCGTAAATGAAAAATATAAAACATGGAATAATTTGGTTTACACAATGTCGTAAACTGAATCGAGAGAGTTTCAGGTTTCGTCTACCATACCGGGCGCGCGAGATACTTGGAATAATATCATTGAAAATCGTTATTACTTATACAATTTTTTATATTTATCAAAGTTTGTCATGACTTTGAAATTCGGCGATACGTGAAAGACACTTTCTACAGGGTGAATGCACAATAAAATCACATCGATTTTGCGAAAGGTCCATAATGGTCCTCAGGAGCATGATAGAAAACCAATGCGTCCCTTCAAGACAAGAAACCACGAATCACCTTCTTTTTAAACTAAGAAGCTGCTTCGCGCTATGCGCTACGAACTTGTCCCGCCCAGCGACGATTTTTCGAAAGCAATCTTGTTACTCAAGTAAGAATATTTTTTTTGTTAACGGCTTTACCCAGTAACAAAAGGTATAACTAAACGTTTGGCTGCGTTTTGACGGATAACATCATCGCTTGAAGCGAAATCCTCAAACTACTATTGCCTATAGGTTTTTGAGGTTATTTAGGTGACAAGCATCACGAAATATACAAACAAGTGAAATAATACGTAATGTC